CTTTAGAACCCTACAATTAGGTGGGGTTTCAGTATTGTTTCTCTGTCTAGAAAATAATTCTAGTTCTTATGATTTTTAGAGAAAACATTAAAAGTGGTAGCTCCATGGGCCCAACTCACAAAGCAAGTAGAAATTTCCTACATGCACGTAAAAGAATCTTAGGTAGTAGGACTTTTAAAAAAATGTACATGAATACTCAGTAAACACAGACAAATCTCCTCTACTGAAGCACATCTTTAGCAACTTTCTAGCTGTTAGATGGCCAGGTTTTACTCCTCAGGAGCTGCTTCTTTTCCCTTGTACCTGGTCAGTAGCTAGAACAATACAACAGAAGTCTGCAGAGGAAGCTCTACATTCTCAAGTGGGGCTTGGATACATGGGTAATGTAACATCCCCGATTATCCAACTACCACAAGAAATGCAGAAAAGCACAATCTGGAAACTCGGCCACCCACCAATGAAGTCCATGTGGGTCCTTCAGGACTTATTACCACTTTGGTGTCTCCGTACCATGATTCCTCCAGAACTCCAGATTCGGGAGGTCTTCTTAACCATCGACGTCAACTGCCCTGCACAAAGCCAGTTCAGATCTGGATTTCCAGCCAAGGTAATAAAAATCCCTGGAACATGGAGCACAGCACAGAAACACCCAAGTGGGTCTGTACAGAGCCAGCTCGGGTCCATCAGGACTTATTAGTTCAGACACTGTCTGAAAGCAGCTGCACTGCAAAGCTGGTCCTGGAAATAGCAGAGATGTGTTAACATGGCACAGCACGTGAACTAATAAACTTAGTGCTGAGCTGAGTCTGCTCTAGGCCAAATCTGGTGCCTGTACAGCACAGCAGAGTTAATCTGCAACTGGAGAAACTGCCCAAAGACTTAACTCTATTTCGAGTCCAGCAAGCACACCTCTACCCCTACCCATGTACGCAAGTTTTCTACTCTCAACACCTCCCTCCAGATGACCAATCCCTCCATCTACCCTTGTCCTGTTTGTTCACCGTTTTCTCTCTTGATTCTGCACATCCATTTCTCAAGCCTCCTCTAAATGTCTGTGATAAGGCTGCACAATGTACACGAGTGGCTTTCAGCCTTTCAGGAGCGATAAATGTGGCTACCACCCTCTCGTCATCCTACCTTCCCCATCAGACCAACACTTCCTAACTCCTCTCCCCCTGACTTCTGGCTTCTCCCTTTGTTAGTGTTTCTCTCCCGAGCATAGGAACAATTATGCTTACAAAAACAAAAGAAAAAGACTACTGTACTGGCATATCCAATCAGCCTCCACGGAAAAAATAAGTATCAGCAGAAACACCATCACAAGAGCTTTCACCAGGAAAAGGGCAGGCTGCCATTTCTAAAGGTAACATTTGCTTCCTCACCTAGAAGTTGCTTACCAGCCAGCCCAGATACGACTGTCTGAGGCTCTCCTCTTGCCTTGTGTGATTCTCCCATGCCAACCAGCCTGAGTGTCTTGGTGTGGCAAAGGGCTTGTGAGAGCAAAGACTTGTCACTGGGCTGCTGCTAAGAACAATGAATGAGGAAAGAATGCCACAGCCAAGAATGAGGGTAGCAAAGACTGGCTGAAATGAAGCACAGGGTGATTGACCTGCTGACTGAACATCAACTTTGCCTCCCACCCGCCCACCTTCACCCACCTCTATAATGCATATAAAACACCTGTTGAGCTGTATGGTTTGTATCTCTGTCCTATGATGAGTAGGCATGAGATGGACACCAATGATCAAAGTTTTACAGTATTGGAAATATAATGATAGAGTTAACCAATTGCAACAGAAAGTGATGGAGTCTGACCCTATAGAACAGCTCAAGAGGGCTGGGATAACACACATCATTGGTAAAACACCAACTCCAACTGCATCACTCCTCTACCCATAATAATGACTTCAACTAAGAACATGGGCAGTTCTCCTTGACAGAGGAGATTCCTTGTTTCTGAGCTGTTTCCAGAGCACTGAAATCAATATAAAAATTAAGAAATCAGAACCAAAATTGAAATGTATCTTATCAGTCATCAAACACGCTCTGAACAGCAAAGCAGCACTATGCAATATAACTTTGTATATAAATGTGTACCAAGACAAGGAAATTAGTAATAATTTTATATTTAATAATATATTTAATAATTTTAATACTAAAGCAGACAAGCATACTCTGCTCACTTTCTATGGCAATTAGAAAATGAAATCTGCCTACTTTTTAGCTGCTTTGTTCCAGATTACCAACCTGATGTTGTCAGTTGCTGAAGCCCAAATAAGAAAGAATCTCACCTTACTCTTACATGTGCTTTTTACACAGTTAAGTGTTTCTACATGTCACATAAGCAGCAAAGCCACGGTCAGAGACTTGTTCAAAATCAGGTTCTCAGAATGACATAATAACTAAGGAATCAGTGGAGCACATGCATCATCGTTCAAAACTCCAGCCATATCATTGCCTTGTTTTAGAAAGCTACTGTTGAACCTCTGACAGTCCAAATGATTGGAAAACGCTGATACCTAAGAAAGCAAGTTTTGGTTTTCATTGTTTTACTTCTAGACTTCTGACAGACCTCATTCTCTTTTAGACTAAGATATCTAGCCTCTTTGCAGAACTATTCACCATCTCCATCCATACAGGAACTCTTAAGATGTCCCAATCAAGGAAAGATGAATGGCATACATCTAAGTGGAGATACTATTAGGTTGTGTAGGATGGTACACCTTATTAACCTTACAAACTGTTCCAGGAGGCAGACTATCCAGGTAAGTAGCTCAAACTAACTTAAGCACTTGGAACCAGGACCTCAGAAAGTGCTTGTATTACAAGGAAAGTTTTGGAGCTTCTTGCATAGCAGTAAAACATACCTTGCTCCTTCCTCTCACTAGGCACAGGGTAATGGCCAGATACAAGAAGATAAATAGGCTATTTACACCCAGAAGGTGTTGGCAGACTTATTAACAAACTTAAACTCACATCTAGAACCAGATCCTGCAATTATTTACACAGTCATTTTTACACATGTATATAGCATAACGCTATGTGGGTATTATGAAGATATGGATTGCCATATGAATAAAATTTAACATAGTCCAAAAAAAAGCACTTTTAATTACAAATCCAACTGCATCCATCTTCATTCCTAAAAGTAGTCAGGTCTTCCTGCTACAAATTCTGCTAAATGGCCAATGAAGAACTTCTGAGATCCATTCAACAAAGCAGTTAAGAAATGCAAAACTTTGAAAAGTGACAGACGTTACCTTTACAGACCTCTTTTTTAAAAACAAATGTTAAAACCAAACTAAAATCCTTAAATCTATTTCATTACAGCAGTCCTATTCATATGATTGGCAAATATCATCAGACGGGGAGTTCTGAAATTATCAGCCACAGACTTTTTTTTTAAATCCCTATGTGCTTTGGGGTTCTACTAAGGCCTAATAAACTTTCTTACAGGTCTGGAGTACTATATAAATTTTGTCAGAGCTGTGCTGGCATAATTGGTAATACAAAATGTCTGGCTTCATGGAAGTTATAAGCTCTGGCTCCAATCCTGCAAACACTTACTGAAGAATTTAACTTACTGCACAGAACTGACTACTCACGCATAAGTTAAGCATATTTGTAAATATTTGCACAGTATGGACATCTGTTGGCATAGCGAGTCATCTGATACAAGATTTGGTTTTAAATCCTAGTCTGTAAGGAGTCAATATTAAAAAAAGGAACTCCTCACTTATAAATTCCTTTCTTAGGTATGAAGCATGTCAGATACCAAAGGGTGGAATTCAAAAGTTAAAACCAGAGGAACAGAGGAATCAGTGAAATCACAACAATTGGTTCTGTAACTAACATAACTAGAGAAGCCTGATTTCTTATGGATGCACGTCTCAAGACTGAACTCCTGCCTTGCTTTCAGCCTTTGCTGAACTAAGCTCTTGCTATACCTTTCCTTCAGTGGTGCCATTTATAGCGTTTCTCACATCATCGCAAACACTTTTACAAAGCTCATAAAATTACTTCAAAGAGCTCCTCCTTATCAGGTTTGGCTGAAATTAACACTGAAAAGTTTTGGGTGGGGTAAGAAATAGGCACAGCACAATGCTGACCCACAGCTAATTGTGTAAGTTGCATTTCCTTAGGAAATCAAAAAGAACCACTTATAAAACAGCTCCTTCCTCTTTGCCATTTGGAGGTTGAGCACATCCTGTTTCACTCATACTCTTTAACACAAAAACCTTTTGTGATCTCTGAATTTAAAACTTTAAAACCTGGCACTAGGCAGAAAAAAAATATAAAGGGAGAAAGGCATCTTCCCGTTTATTCAGTACTGAGTGAGAGAAACTAAGCCCACACAGTGTTTAAGGCCTTGTGTGTATCGCACCTGCAAAGCTGCCATGTGGAGGTCTGCATCTTTAACCTACAGAGAGGAAGTGCTGAGTAGCTCTCACTCTGGCTTAGGACTTATGGTTTCCAAGGAGCTTGTTTTAAAGCTGAGGCTTTAAAGGTTCCCTTCAAAAAATGCCAGGAAAGGACTAAGGGGATGAAGGTAAGGTAGGCTGTCAGCAGCAGGAAGATGATGGCAAGGCTCCATCAAGGACCTGGGTGACAAGACCTCTCTTCTACAGCTCCTCTGTCTGCAAACCGGGGGCGAGCTGACCTTTGGAAAACCCTAACGACACACAATAACAAAACGCACAGTTGCCGGGAGGGAAAGAGGGTCCCTAGCGAGGTGACGGGAGGGCACTCTGTAGGCCCTTGTGTAAAGGCTTGTCTCAAACCGCCCTTAACCACAGCAGGGCTGGGACTGGCCGCACACAGCGGCCCGGAGACCTGCCCCACGCCCTCGGAGAAGGGCACCCGCCTCCTGCCCAAGCGGCGGCCCAGCCCCGCCCGCGACGCGGGGAAGCGCCGCCAGGGCCACTCAGCGGGGCGCGGTGGAGACCGAGAGACCGGCGCTGCGGCGGGGCCTGTCCCACCACGGAGCCCCGCTGGGTTACCTGGCGCAATGAGCACCCACTGGCCCGGGTGCGCGTCCGCGGGACGCTGCTTGGCGCCGTGCATGCTCCGTACGCCCCGCCGGCCGCCACCCGCGCTCCCCTCGCCGTTCCCGCCGCCGCAACATGGCGGTCGGGGCGGGGCCGTGCGCGGCGAGAGGGGGGAGAGGCGGGAAGGGGCGCCGCG